GGGATAGCGTCAGGAGCTGGTAGGAGTCAAAACCCCTCATATTTGAGACATCGTGGCCCATATACTCGCACAACGAGCCGCCCCACCCCGGTGCCACCGCGTAGCGACCAGCTTCTACGTGGCCGCGCACACCGCTCTTGCTCCGCTCGGGCCCACCGCCCCACCCAGCAGAAGATACGTAACGAGACTCAGCATACAGTACACAACAAAAGAGACACGTCCGGGCATGCACACCCCACCAGCAGAGCACCCCGTGGAGCCTGGACCGAGGGTGGTGCTGGTGCAGGTCGATGATGAGGGATGGGGTCGACCCACTGCGCGCGCGCAGGGGCGGCGGCTGCGCTCTCACCGTCGAGCCGGCGCCGACTCCGGGCACCACACCCTCGGCGAGGCCGGCCTGCGAGCGCTGCAGAGCGGCCAGCGCCTGCTGCTGCTGCAGCAGCTGCGCCTGCATCTGCGCCAGCACGTCCTGCGTCTGGGGCTGCTGCGGCGGCTGCGGCGGGGGCGGCGGCTGCGCTGCCGCTGGCGCAGGTGTGTGATGGGCATCACCGCCCGTCGCAGCGTGGGGGGCAGGGGGGCGCGGCGCGTGCGCGCTCTCGCGGCCTCCCTTGCCCATGCCCTTGCCACCCTGGCCCTTGATGCCTGTGCCGCCCTTGCCCTTGCCGCCCTTGCCGCCCTTGCCGCCGCCCTTGCCGCCGCCCTTGCCGCCGCCCTTGCCGCCGCCCTTGCCGCTGCCGCCGCCGCCGCCGCCGCCGCGCCCCTCTCCGCCGCACGTGCGGGCAGCCCCCTCATCGAGGTCATGCAGCGCAGCGTCCGACGACTCGCCCCTGTCGGGGTTGAAGCCGTCGCGGCCGAGGTCGAAGCCGCGCGTGGGGCGAGCGGAATACGATCCGTCTGACGTCCACGCCTCGAAGCCGCCGTGGCCCGCATCGTCGCACTCGTCGTCGGCGAGCACGTTGCCCCACCCGCCGAGGCCGAAGCCGCCGCCGCCGCCGAGGTCGAAGCCGCCGCCGCCGCCGCCGCCCTCCCCCCCCGCCTCGTCCTCCGCCTCCTCCTCCTCCTCCCCTTCGCCCTCGGGGACGACACCGTACAAGAAGGCGTTCCGCGCGTTGGCGACGTCCGGGTCGGTCGCGAGGGCGTACCCCATCTTGGCCCGGCCTTTCTGCTGCGGCACCTCGACGGTGTCGTTGGTCTCTTGCCGCGCGTACTCGGTGCGCGACGAGTCGTTGATCAAGAGGATGTCCCTCGGCGCGTGGCTGTCCATGTCGTCGAGGGCGCCGACAGCCGTCCGGACAGAGCCAGCAACGAGCAATGCCCGCGGGGCGCCGTTGTCGACGCGCTTGATGTCGGCCACCACGAATGCGTTGTCGAAGACGTACTTTGGACGCTGGCCCAGGCGGACGCGCGTGTCGAGCCTGCAGTGATGCAGCTGCACCGCCCGCGTCGACTCCGCAGCCGGGCGGTGGCGCTCCGCCTGCTGCCGTTGCTGTCGTGGCCGCTTGTGAATCTCGCCGCGCTCGTTGCCCTCGCGCCGCCAGCGCGGCTGCCTTGCGCCGCGCTCCGCGCCCCACGAGTTCGCGTGCCGCCGCGCGCTCCTCATGTCGTCGGCGTCCTCCTCCTCGCCGTACTCCTCGTCCTCCTCCCCGTCCAGCCACACCCTCACCCACCGGTCCCTCATCCAGGTGTAGTAGTGTCCAGTGTTGGCGGGCCACTCAGTCAGGCTCGCCATCTCTGTGCTCGGTGGCGGAGGTTGAAGCAGAGTTGTGTTTCCTTTGTCACTTCGCACTTCGCACTTGGGGTGATGGCGGTGGTGGGGACGGCAGAGGGGTGAGGGAGTGGGCGGCGACGGGGGAGGCGGGCTCGGTGGGGGCGGCGACGGGGGAGGCGGGCTTGGCGGCGGTGGGCTTGTGGCGGTGGTGGCGATGGCGGTGGTGGGGGCGACGGAGGGGGCGGACTGGGAGGCGGCGGCGACGATGGAGGCGGGGAAGGAGGTGGCGGGGGCGCAAGAGGCCGGAGGGAGGCGGGATGGCGAGGCGCTGGCACAGAGGGCGTGCGCGTGCGGCGCGCCAGCTCGAGGCCAGGACGCCGACGGCCCTCTCGAGTAGGATGCCCTCGCCGAGCAGGCAGGGGCCCCCGGCACAGATTGCTCCTCGCCGTCCTTTTCAAGGGGGGGTGTCTGAGCAGGGGTGGCTTGCCG